GAGACGACAGTCCGGCACAGAAAACCACCAAATCCCCCCCGAAAAAAAACGACATGCAGTAAATTCCTCAATCATCTCACACAGGAAACACAGAAGAGGGCCACAGCCTGTCGGGACTGGTTCAGACTTGCCTTGAGACCTCAACCGCAGCTCCATTCAGCCTTGGCTGCTAATGGATCTGATCAAAGCATCACTTTAATTCAAGATGGGTTTTTTTGAACTGCTTCAAAAGTACAATGGAGATGTAATGCTGAAGAGCCAGACCTCATTAACCACTAGCATGTTGGTGACTGTGGTCTAGTTTAAAAAAAGGTGCATCCTCCATGACTCAAACAATACTGCTGCATTCACACCCACATTTTAAAATATGAACAACAAATGGAATTGTATAGCACAGTGTGTCCGTTGTAGCCTGATGGAAAACGCAGTTCTCCATTAAGAGCAGTATAAACAGTGTATAAAGAGGTCTTTATGTTGGGTCTTTGGATAGAGAGCGCCAGTAACTTGTTTAAAAAAAACAGAAAACACACACATATACGCCACAGGTCTCGAACCACACCAGAATGTGCTTGTCAGGACTATATTTACAGGGACCCAGCAATCTAAAACACCACAAAACAGACAAAAAATGCGATATAGCTGCTAGAAAGGAGGTTTCACATGCAAATCTTCTCAAGAAACCTTCTGGTAGCAGTCAGATAGCAGATATATGCAATATGCAGTCTGTGCAACAGGAAATTCTGCAGTTAAGTATAATGTGGGGCAGTACAAACCAGGCTTCCTCCAATTCATCAGCTCAGGCTTTCTCCAAAACACTGGCAGATTTGAGGGGCCTATTAGAGGTCCTGATGGGAACAGAAACACTGGTACGGTGGGCAGTAAGGGACATAAATAACGGAGCAATGTCTCTATTCACTCACATTTAATTCACACATATTTGACAGACATAAAAGAGACAAAATATGAATCTGGCAGCAGAGGATATTAAGCAAGAGCCGCAGTGCTCACGTCTCTCGTCCTTGGAGGGGGCATGTTTAATGGTTTCCATTTTCTGAGGAGAAAACCGGTTCCTCCGTATTCCCATAAATCACAGGGCGCAGCCAGGAAAAAATGTAAAGCAATTAGAAAGCAACTTGTCAATAGAAGAGGTAGATAAATGATCAGCTGACAGTCAAACGTTTCCACGGCGACACCAGTGGACCCCGGTGGTCCTGGGCCCACCCGTTCAGCATTCACAGGGAGCGATACAGTACGACAGGAACGATGGTGCCTGACAGGTATGTGCGTGCGTGGCTAGGACAACCGGAGAAAACGTGCTGTTGATTTGCAAAAAGTTTTTTTTTTGATTTGCTAGTTTGGTCTTAGGAATGCCATGGATTGTTTAAAAGCCGATTTAATAAATAAACAGTTGAGTCTGTAGTGTGATTTTGTCTCCAAGTGAATGTTTATGGGACTGGCCCATCTGATAGTCTGCCAGCCCACCCAGGCTATCATTTCTGGCTCCACTATTGGTCAAAAATATCAGGAACTAAAAGTGATGAAATATCTATACACCCAAACTGATGCTGCTATTTATTACTTTTTTTGGTTGACATAGCTATTGCAAATTTGACTTTGCACAGTAAACTCAATTGTGGCACCTAGTCCTAAATATTCAGTGACGTTTATATCCATCCAGACACTGAAATTTAAATTCAGTCACACGTATGTATTTCAACTGCTAGCACCCTCCATGTTTATGTTAAACATTTATATCGCCACATTTTTGAATTCAGAAGACGGTTGAACTAAAACTCCTCTCAGACAGGCCTCGTCTGAGAAGAAGGATCTGAGCAAAGGATACCAAAGAATACTGTCTGACCGGCCAGGCGTGCACAGCATCGCGATCTGATATGCAGACACCAATCGTGAGCTCGCAAGCACACATGCCAATTAGAAGCTTACGGCAATGTCCGTAATATTGACACTTTAGCTATATAATTGAAAGCAGCAGTTGGTTCCTGGAGTTGCTTTAAATTTGCTTGAAATGATTGCCGTCCAGTTGTACGCAATTCCAATAAATTTTGAAGACTTCGATAAAACACACAGTAATGAGGATCCACATTCAGATGTGTTTGTTTTCAGAGAAACACTTAGGCGATTATGGCTTCTGGCTGGGGGGCAAATATAGATTGTTCCGCAGTAAACACTAACAAAACAATAAGATGGTTAACAGGTGTTCAATTATCATTGTTTTTATCCTGATTATGGGTAATTAATGTTTCACTGTATAAACTACAAAAAGAAAAACAACAGATTATTACCCTTGTGCAGGGGAAAGAAACTGGAGGGTTAATGTTAGAATTTTAAAAGCTTTCTAACCCACAAACCAGCATCATGTAACAAATGGAGGAATTAGAGGATGTGAACAAAGAAAAGTCACAACAAGCAGAAGTGCAACGACAGGACAGGCAGGGCAGGCAATGGCCTGGGGCCCCGAGCTGGGAGGGCACCCCCGAAGGGCGGCTGATTACATGGCACATTGCAACGACAAATCTGCTTTATTTGCTCATGGGAGTTGCACTTACACAACAATATTCTGAGGGCAGAAGGGAAAATGATTGGTTCAAAGAGATAACCAATCAGATTGTAAAGAACGTGAGTCCAAGGAACTAGAGGATGCAGGACTTTGTTGATATTATTAATTATTGATATTATTAATGTATATTTCATAAAATAAAGGTAATACATGTTACCATACCGGGGGAGGGAGAGTTGGAGGGCCCCATGGAATTTTTGGCCTAGGGGCCCCAGAGTCCCTAAAATCTTAGTGATACAACATGTTTGTAGTATGAGAGCAGTCAAATAAATGCTCTTTCCATCTTGTCATGATGTGTATATATAAGCAGAACAGGCTGCGCGTCTGTTATTGCAAACCATCAGACCTGCTACCACTGAGTTTTGCAGCTTGGAAAGGGAGGGTTAATGCTTTTGGTCAGCACCTGAAAAACGCAGCGTTTAAACTGCTAACGAATCACAGGGGTTGCTGGGGGAGGGGGGCTATGGGAAAACATCATCATCTACAAGAACCAGTAAAACAGAAGCAGTCGAAACTCAGAGTGAAACACAGGCATTTGGCTGATATATAAGATGAAACAGAAAAGGCAACTCAGTCCAAGCATCTTATTATAAATGGAGAAGTTGCGTAGGAAATTCTCAGGTCTGGAACCCACAGCTAGTTGTCAAGCAAAAACCGTTTATAACAACGGATGCCAGATGCTTAAAGCAGTGAGAGGGTCATGTGACTAGCATAAAGCCCAGCAAACTTTATGGCCCAGTGCCATCGGTCGCCCTGATGTGTAACGTTGCAGTGTGTGGGCGAGAGTCTGATCTGTCCGTTCCTTTAGACGGCGGAGTTCATGTGGTGTGACCACTCAGCATCCTCAGCAATCAGCATAATATTTTGTTTGGTGCTCTGCAGAGGTGCTGTGCACAGCAGACCCCCCCCCCTCCCCAAACTGATTTGAAGAAGAACAGACTCCTGGAAAGTTCCAGGTGCCAGAGTGTAACTTTTAAACCTACTCTGACTCCATGCCCTACATACTCACCCCGGCTGGAACTACGGGGGGGGGGGGGGTCCATTAGCTGTATGTGTTGACATGTTTCACTGATAAAACTGGCAAGTTACCTGAATGAATTGGTCCTACAAAGAAAGGAAAGCAGATCGAAATCAAAGAGGAAGCAAATAAGAGGGGAATCCTCATTTTCAGCCAGAATTGTAACATCAACATCAAGGCGACACGATGGGCATGAGCACACAAGGTGTCATCATGTCGCAATAACGGAATGAACTTCAGGCAGATCGGAACTCGTATTCACAGAGAAAGCATTACATAAAGATCTGTAAGAAAATTACAAATATCACGCCAATGGCAAGAAAAAAATAACAACAACCAGTTGCCCAGTGAGTATTAAACTTTAAATAAGGATATATTTTTGCCGGAAATAGAAGGCCGCTTTTTCTACCTATCAGATTATGTCTCACACTGTCTTCATGAATTAATTTGCCGAATATGACCGAAGCTTCCGTAGCTGAATTCAGTTTGACGTGATTTTGCTCTGAAAGTTTAGGTTGTACATAAGTCTCCACCACACACAGTGTAGGCCTGCTTTCTGTGAGAGGGCTCTACTCGATAAGAGACTTTCCCAGGTTGGACAGATAAACAACCGACGGAGCATATGTGGAGAAGGTCCCGGTGTTCAGGTTCCTGGGTACTGGAGGATGACCTGACCTGGAGCGCCAACACCAAGGAGCTGCTAAGAAAGGTGCAGCAGAGACTGTATTTTCTGAGAATCCTCAGAAAGAACCGTCTCCCCAAAAATCTGCTCCTTTTAAAAAGCTATGGACATTTTACATGATTCATCACATCCCGATCACTGTCTCTTTCAGCTTTTGCCATCAGGACAAACCGCCTAAAAAAAGTTTTTATCCAAAAGCAGTCATGGCCTTAAACTCTAAACAGAACTGTTAATTTTTATATTTCATAAGTGCAATTTATATATCCAGTGCAATATGTATATTTTTAATATATTCTTTTATTACTCGTGCCTCTCATTGAGTCGCCTGCACTTTCTCAATTCCATCATCTCATCATATGTTTTTTGGTCTTTGCGTTATTTAAGGGAAAGTACAACACAATACTATTTTTTCCCCTCAGGAAACAGGAAATGCTACAGATTTCCTCTGTGAAAGTTAACATACTGGGTAAGAAGCTACAAGGACCACAGTCCATTTAAGTTCTATTTTGAAGCACCACAGGACATCCAAGAACTGATACCACTGAAATTTAAAAACAAGCGGAAATCCTAATTAGTACATTAAAATGAATTCAATTCAGCGTAATTAAACATTGGTTAAATATTACACGGATTTATGCCTTGTGCAATAATGTTGGTCTAAAAAAAACATCTGATGATCACAGACCTAAGATTAGAAAAAAAATGCAAAAATGACTGCATGGTCATAATTGACAGAACGGAAAGTTTATGCACAGTTTAACAAGTTAAAAACAAACAAGTCATTCTTTGCTAGTTCTCTCATTCCAGTTAAATACTTCCATAAAGAATAGTCTACAGTGGCTGTGTGTTTTCTAAATCAGTAACCAAAGGCACTTGAACCAGTGCAGCTCACTGTAGGCCAGACCATTTTCTGAGCAGACCCTGGCTGACGGCACTGGAACACAGAAATGTCCTCTCACCTAGCATTTTAATTACAGACTGTACAAAGGATCCTTCACAAGCAACATAATTATAACCAGCGAGGAAAATAATTAACCAAACCCCACCCCCTACACAATCAAGCGGAGTGGCACACCCGAAGGCCTGACTTTGAGAGCACCTGGCGAGATGACCCCACAAGTCACCTCGAACCACCTGTTGATCACTGGCAACTAGATAATCTACGACCGAAAGGATCTGTCGGACATCCGATAGCAGGTCGTGTGCTGTCAATTACGAACCTACGGGGCAGTCAGCGAAACCTTTTCCCATCACAAACATGTAGTGGAAGAGGAAAGCAGAGCCATAGTTCTCTGTGATATGTTTATGCTGAGGTCTAAGTTACTTGATCAAAGCACTTAAGTCACACACCCTAAGAGCAGGTGCTAAAACGGCACAGCACGCCTGAAGAGCGGGTTTCGGGGCCTTTAATTATTGTACAAGTTTGAGGTATATCGCACCACCCTGACCATCTGATTAAATTAACTGGATTAAATTAGTCCTTGGGTAAGCAAACAAGATGTGCTGGGGAAATAGGTGGAGGTTCCAAATGGGAGTTCTGGGAATTATTGCTGGAGATATATAGGCCTATATATAATTTTAAGTGTATAAGGCAATTATTTCAGTGCATCTGCTTCTTAATGATAAAGTCCAGAACATGAATTCTTCGAACAATTTATTAGTCGATTAAAGTGCTCTAAGCAGTGCCAGTGAAAAGTAACAACAGACGGAGTAAAACTATAAAAGGAGCGTTATCTCGGAGATAAAAATATTCATGGAATATTAAGGAACACGATGAATTCACCTTTACGATGTCTCCTCTTCAAGACCATCGTGTTTTCTAAGAGTTACGGACGGTAAATCCCGTTCGCTTCGTCAGAGTAAGGAGTGTGTGTTTCATCCTTGCTTTTGTCACAGCATAAAAAAACGCATTTAATACGGATGTAAGATCCCCGTAACTAATAAGGAGTAATGTGAGTTTCGCGAGTATTTGCACCAGTAACCATGTGCGCTGCTTGCTTTATTTATAATTGACTGATCTGAACCAATCAGCGACTAGTTTCATTATGACACTGGCTGTGCCATAATTTTAATTAAAAATGTTTACACATGACTTCAGGGCTTTTCAGAAGTCCTGTTGTCTCGTCCTAATTCACGTCATTAAATCTTAGTTTCTCCCCCCCCGTCCTCCGGTTTTAATCCATCAGTTGGTACCCTGTTCGTGCCTCGTTTCATCCGTACAGTTTAGATGGTTTTCCAGCTCTTGGACCACAGCAGTTTTCCCTATTTGATCGTTCCTGCGCTTCTCCATGATCAGGTCCTCCAAACTCTGAAACTCCAGCACATGGCTCTTTTTCTCGGATAGTTGTATTTTTAACCTGTACGGCTGCTTGCCGATGCGTATCTCGCCGCCGATTTTGAACTCGCGTTTCCCGAACCGGCACCAGGCGGCGAAGCACTCCGAGTTCCTCCAGCTAAGCTCCTTGGCCCCCACCTGCTCCATGGCATTCTGCACCACCACGTCCGGACTCAGGGGCTTAAACCTGTACAGGTCGTTCACGATCCTGCCCCGTCTGCCTTGACTAGCATCCGTCAGGAAGCTGTTCTTTATCTCGGCTCTGTGCAGGTGGACAACCTGAAAGTCTCCCACATACACGGCCCAGTGCGGATACTGGCCCGTCGCCACCAACTCCAACACGTCGCCCGGCTTGCACTTATTCAGCAGGTTCTCCGGGGAGTAAGTGCTCCAGTCCCCGGTCTTTGAGCTCCTTTCGTAGACGCAGTCGTCCCGGTAATAGACGGCGCACTCCACCTCGTTGCGCCCGTCATACTGCGCCTCTTCCTCGTTGCGCTCCCTGTCCGTTTCCCCGACGTTATCCTCCAGGTCGTCGTCGTCGCTGGAGAAGATGTAGGACACCCCGATCCGCGGCGCGTCCTCCTCGGGGTCCAGCCCGTTCGGATCCGCCGTCGGAACTTCTGCGTAACTTAAATGAGTCAGTTTCTCGACCTGGTTGCCCATTGCAAGCCCGCTGGTAGCCGATACGACCGGGGGAAGGGGGCAGGGAAATGACGCGGTTCCACCTGTTCAAGGCAGGGTGTAAAAAGCGCTCCTGAAAACGCAACACGTAATATGACCTGGGCACGACTAATTCCTTCGCGCTATAGGATTACAACCCATGGTCCACTGTCGACATTATTTAAATATAAGGATCCGGAGATGTCGACGTCCCGACCTGCCGAAAAGAAACAAAAAGCCATCGTTCAAGTGCCGTTTAACACAATGTGATCATTATCAAAATCCAAGGAAAGCTGACTGTAGTATATTCCGGCCAGGTGTGTTACACCTGATACACCCCGCATATCCCACACACGTAGGCAGCGTTAAACTTACCCCGAAGCGTAATATTACATAGCCAGAGCAAAGAAAGGGGGGTCGGTGATCATCGAAGGCGAACAACTACTTTTAATTTATTTTTTTCTCCTCCTAGCAAGCGCCCTGTTAAAGTATCACAGCGGTCAGGCAGGTATAGCAGCGTTCGGTACAAGCGCGACTCCCCCAGAGCTGCGCGACTCGACAGAGCAGTAATTAGACGGGACTGCCGGTTTAAAGGGGCAGCGCGCTTTTATTCTCCGTCCCGGCGCAGGCAAAACCGAAAGTACACTCAGGCCAGCAATCGGGAGCCCTCTAACAAGTCACTTCTGTGAGTGAAAAATAGCAATAACTGCAACTATAAATAAATGCCGTTGTGGTCGTACCAGAGGTATTCTTTCATTTCTGCTTTTGCCGGGTATGGTACGTAATTAATGTTTGGGCATTATCAATACCGGAGGTACGATACACACAGGCTCATGTGTTCACATGGCAGGATGTGGTTTGTTCCAAGCTGCAATTTTCTGATTCGCGTGCTAAGTGCAAATAAAGGTGATGTGGAAAATGGTGTATTGGTTGCTAAAGAGATTTTCATGAAGAAATAAACGATTGATAAATGAACACCAAGAATGACCAAGTAGTCTTTGAGGGCAAGAGGGTTGCAGAGATGGTGTCGTGATTAGCCAAAAACATTATTAAACTTGCGCTCTAGTAAAGGGGGGGCACCTCTGTAACCACAGTGTGACACATCTGTCAGGTCGTACTTGAGTCACATTGGCTTAAAACTAAAACTGTTGCAAACGGATCCGCTGCAGGGCCTCTGTATGATATGCGAGGCGTAGCTTGTAACCTTGTCTAGCAGCTGTTCATGCACCATGGGTATATTTGCGGGGGTGTGCTAAACTCCTGGAACTAGAGACTGAACTTCAGTTAAATTAGCGGCCAACGTATAAACAAACGGGATCCTGTTTTAATTGTTTGGTTAAAACGTACTGTCAAAAATAGACAGAGGATGGCATGGTTGTCAAGAATCTATACTTGAAGTCTCCTAGGTACACACTCAGGAAGAGTTTCTGAGGTCGTACCGTATAGAAATATTGGTGAACCAGCTCGGTCCAATAGACTTGCACTCGTATAAATGCATACATTGAGTCATTACATTTTTGTGAAACTGTTGGCTAGGTAACGAATTAAGAAATTAGAAATAATTATATTTGAGCTCATATGCAGTCATCTTCAAAAGACTTTGCCTCCAAAACCCAAAAAGATAGATCTTGACACCGTAACATTAATTTTAAATGTCGTTAAACCTTTTACAGGAAATGTGCATGTAAGCCTCACATTTCATAAAAGCAGCACATGTGGAGCACAGGCACATTTTTAACCAGGTCACTCCTGATGTCAGTCAGATTAGTCTAGGTTAAGGTTAGGTTACCTCAGTGTCTCGCCTTTAAAAAATTATGACTCACAGCCAGTTCCGTGTGGGTAGTTAAGGCAGATGTGTGGTTTCCTATCTCCATGGAAAAACTGTGATAGCAAAGGCAACTAGACGGTTTTGTTTTTGGCGCAGTCTTGACTAACAGGAAATGGTGCAAAACGTAAAAAATTGTTGCAAAATGCCCGTGGGTACCCTGAAGACCCAGACTGTGGGCGCTTTTCCAGAGCAGTGCTCTGTGTAGGGTCACCTAGCACGCTTGGTTTTTGTGGGTCTATGTTTGTAGCATCTAGTTTCGTCCACGCCTGTCGCTCTGTCTTGATTTATTTATACCGTGAGGAACGGCATACCTAGGAGGGTTGATCCAAACGATATCATGATTAACGTTAACTGTCCCCGTGAATGCAGCCGTGAGCTCCGCCCCTTTTCCCCATCAACATGTCCGCCGGCTTCTGTCACTGTGGAGACCCTGATCAGCAGGTGTGTGACAGACAGGCCTGCGGTCCAGTTCCTAAAGACCTCCCATCTAAGCTGTCCTCCATCTGCTTCTCAACTACAACAGCGCGGGTGCATTCGTCGCTACCGCCGCTCTCTCAGCTTAAGAACAGCGAGGATCTCTTTTCTGTTTTATTTGTATAATACATCTCACTCTGTCTCATTATCCCCAATGTATGACCGGCTTAATCATGTTTTCATGAAATTGACGATTAAGGTTCTAATCTTGTTTCGTTATGCGAGTCAGAATGTTCTTCTAAATCCGCATAAGCCAGATTGTCAGGCAGACACCACGGACAAAACAGCTATGCCACGTTAACGGCCTGTGGCTGTCAGACTGAAACCATTCTTGTTTTTAAGCAACCAGACAAGTCCGTTTTCTCACAGCGTGGGAAGTCCGAGCGCTTACTTCAATGACACGCCTTTTTCTTTAATCCCCATGTTGCATAAGATGCATTTTACTGACATAATATCTCATCACCTCTTCAAAATATGACATCATCTCTTCTGAGCTATAGGGATGAGTGCCACCATGCACTACCTGTGGCTACCTGTCCGTGATGCATGAATTTATGTCAGTAATAGAATGCGGAGTACTGTTTTCCCAAACTCACGTACGTATAGTATAGTTTTACTAGTACATGGAATTGCATGAATATAAACAAATCATAGACATTGGGGTGTAATTTCGGAAAGTATGGTGTTTTTAAGTTTGTATGCTAAAGAAGTCTAAGAGGCCTTCATATTTCCTTTTTAGATACCCCCGCACCCCCCCCATGCCTCTTCCTTGAAAGTCATCCGGATCTCCCATTGGTCGATGGCGCATAACATTTACAGTGAGGTGGGCTGGTTTTTTACTGCCCTTGCCAAAAGCATATAATTTTAAATATATCTTCCAGGGGTGGAAGAACTGTGCAATTCTGTGTCACGCATGACTCTTTATCTCCTCAGACCTGCGGTTGTGAATGTGAGCTTCCTTGCTCGTCGTGCTTTTCGGGGGCTTAGATTAGACGTTGAAACTTTTCCCGGCATTCCAGTTGTGTGGCATTCGTGTTTTTCCTGCATGACGTGACAGGTCAGCACTGGGTTGCCCCTGGTTACGGTGGTGGCTGAGACCCACATTAACATGTACAGCTAGCCCAGTGCATGTCGTTCGGTTTTCTTGTAGCTAAAAGTAAATGTGGAAAAAGAGTTTCACGCTGGCAATGATGTAATAGCCATCTTTAAATTTAATAATAGGGTGTTTATGCTGAAATATTGAAACATTTTTAAATATTTCCCCGTTTTTGTACTGCAACTTTGTACTGGGAGATGTGATAGAAAGAAGATGGATGGATGTTCTTGTTGTCCACAGTAGCATTATGCAGTCAGCAGTCTTTAATCCAGCTGGGGGTTCTGAGTTCCAATTATTATTTATTTGTCATTTTTGAAAACGCTGTTGGTCACTTCAGGGCAGAAACTGGGCTAGTTGAAGGTAGCTGGGCATTTCCTGTGCTCTCACTCACAGGGAATAACTTTTAGGTATTTATGCTCTGACATTTCAGCATCTGCCTCGACATTTCACTCAACCTTGAGCCGGAAGGCCCTCGAGGCTCGGAGCTGGGTCCCTGTACTGCCGCTCTCTTCCTGGACCCGTGTTTTCTGTCAGGCCGACGCATATCTTCAGCCTCCGCGTGATTCAAACAAACCATTATGGCCCGGAAACTGGAGCTCCAGGTGAAGTATGGGTAACTTGTGACCCAGGTTACCCATAATCCCTTGTAATATTTCAGAAGCCCTTACAAATGTCATGGAGAGTGGCCTGGACAAAGGCAGCTGGGCCAGGCCCGCCCCAAGTAAACAAAATAAATTAGCTGGAGTGCGCTTCTTGTTTTCAAACCGTTTGCTTTGGTTACATCTGAAGAATTTTAAGCAGCTAACAGTAAGCCCCTTAAGGGCCCCTTTCACTCTGAATTTGTGATGGGGCCGCTCTGCATCGTTCATGGGTTGTGCTGCTTATGCGTTTGGCCTGTGTCTACCTGGGTATAAAGGGCCCAACAAAGGGGGGGTTGTTTGAAATATGTATAAATCCCAGGATTTCCAGAAGCTTCTGGAACTGTAGAGTATGGTACTGGGGAGTAGATTTTTGGAGTGGGGGGTGCTTAACTGGGCAGGCTAAACAGCACGGCCTGTAGATCAGACTCCCAGTGGGCTTTGCAAATTGCCCACAATGCAATGGGGCACTAGTGTTTTTTTTAAATATATTTCTTTTTCTGTTCTTCGCCAGGTTACTGGTTTCTTAAGGCTAATAATGAGGATTCATCAGCCAGGCAGAGTGAAATACCTTTGTGTGGAATAAGGCTGGAATGATTCGGCTCCAGCTGCTGCCTGGTGACGGTCAGGCTCTGTGAGGCGTGCAGATCTGCTGGCTCGGCGGAAGGAGGAATCCGAAGTCTGACTCTCTTTGATCATGATAGACGTGATATGCAGGAACCTTTGGCCTGCTGCCTCTCAGGGGAGAGAAGTATGGGTGGGTCCTTGTCATCAAAGTGGCCTCTTCCTTGAGGATCCTGAACTCATCATGTTGTTGCCTTGTTGTTCTGGAGGACATCCAGCCAGCCGCCAGCCTCTGTCTCACGCACGCGCCCCCTTTTCCCTGCAGGATACGGACATGGCGGAAAGGAAATCACCACCCTATGAACCCCAGTGGGGTGTTAGCCTGATGTATGCGTCAGAACTGCTCTAGACTGACATCTAGTGGAGCACAAGGACCGGAAATCGCCGTCGGTGGAGAAGGCCACCTCACACTCTGTGTGTCTCCACAGCAGGCTGGAGTAGATTATGCTAAAGCCTGAGTGGAGTCTTCTGGATCCCCCATTGGGTCGGGATATTGCACTCTTCCGGGGGGGGGGGGGGGGGTTGCCCGCATATAGCCTCTAGCTGGGAACAAAAACACTGCAGGAAGTGCATCGTACAGCATGCATGTGAAGGACCAGCTCAAGGAGAAGTTCTACCATTGCGTTCAGCATCCAGACAATAGCTCCTCCCCTCCCACTCAGAGTCAAGCTCCAGTCCCAGCATTAAAGTCATTCTAAAGTGTCGAGATAATGGAAGATCCTGAAAGTCCAAGCTGATGTTTCTTTCTCTGGGTTGAATTTTGATTAGTCTCAGTGTGGCATAGAGGGAGCCCTGCTGTTATTGTTTTAGGCAAAGAAAGGCAGAGCCCTACTGAGCTACTGAATAGATCAAACGGCAGTTCCCTCGGTAATACTGCAGTCTCCCGGTGATTCATGAATATATTTTCGACGCTAAGACTCAGGGGGTGGGACGACAAAACGCAGCAAATGTACCGGACATGGAGAATCCAGAATACAAGCTGAGAACATTATCTTTGGGGAGGCGTGGGTTACGCCCACCTTCTGGAAGGGAGTTTCTGTTCTGCCTTGAAACATTTTTAACACGTGGAAAAATAAAACATTCTCACTGTGAAATGTCAATGGTTAAAAAAAATGCAAAACAATTTGCCTCAATAAGGGTCACAAGTTACATTCAAAGGGAAATATTACATTTCAGAAAGAAATTGAAATTCTATTTAACCAGATGCATCCTCACCCATAAATGTGTGGGGGGGGGGCAAATCCCACTCCCACGCTGTTACTCTGCATGCTGTGTGCTCTTCCTGTCTTTACACAAATTTCTACTGGGTGCTCTGGTGTCCTTCCAGTTTGGTGACTTATTTGCCCTAAGGTGTGTGTATGTGCTCTGTGATGAACTTGCATCCTGTCTAGAGTGTCTATCATGCACAGTGAATAGCTACTGGCCATCCGTGACCCACACTGGGTAAATGGCTATAGATGGATGGATGGATGGATGGATGGACGGACAGATGGATGGATGGATGGACGGATGGATATATGTATAGTGTTGAAAAACACTCGGTGTCAAGCTCACAATAAGGTAAGTGTGATGGGTGCGGCCTGCTATTAAGTGACTGGGAACTGGGTGTCTGCATGAAATCCGGCATGTCATCCACACCACAGCCACTTCAAGGTGAGAGAAGAGCGGACAGATCCTTCCGGACTCAGTGTTTCCTTGGCGTCCATGCTTCCCTGCTGGGGGCCTCATCTGCACAGAGCTCCGACGGCAGAACATCAGGTTCCCGGCGGAACACAAAAAGTCGGCGTCGTCAGGCTGCTCCTGGGGGAGCGAGACGCAGAGTCTACCTGAGCAGGATCCCTCTGCCTGTTCTCCCGCTCTCCCTCTGCGGAGATTTTCATAAAACGCATAAAGGACTTGTGGCATGTGGACTTATTTTCGTGGCACCATCAAAGAGAGTAGAAATGCAGTCCAAACGTGGCTTGAAATTGTAAAAGCGGTTATGGCGGTAAGACCCAGCCAAAGGGGAAAGGAGAATTTAAGGACGCCCACGGTGTGGCGAATAAAAGAGGCAGGAGCTGGACGCTTAGGCGCGGAGTTTGTGAAAGCCTGGGGGGGGGGGGGAGAGCTTTTTTATTACCTCCAACCGCAGCGGGATCTGAGCAACCTTATTGGTCTGGAAAGGCTCTGCTTTAGCCCAAGCTGCTCCTCACTTGCCCGACTTGCCCGGTTAATGGAGGGCTGCTGGGGGTCGTGCTGAGTTTTAAACTGGGATAGTGGGGTCAGGGCTCAGGTACCGTCACACCTAAACGGCAATTAAACGCCTTTCCTGTGTATCAGCTGTACGGAGACTCCCTCTCCCCTCTTTATGTGCAGCAAACACATTCTAGCAACCCCTTCCTGAGAAGCTTTGCGTGGGTCTGCAGTTGATGGGGGGGGGGGGGGGAGGTGACCGAGATGTTTGTGTGAGCTTAGCGGAGCCCAGCAGAGCTGGCAGCCCCGAATGCGTTGCCAAAGAATGCAGAAAGGGAGAAACAGCGGAGAACCACAAACGCAAGGCCACATATCGCGCACGTCCGTCTGTTGTAGTTGCACAATAGATGGTCTTTGCTGGATACTCCCACACATTTGAAGAATTTTACCAATTACAAACCTGGCCACACAGTGCCACCTGCTGGCTGGGGTAGTTATGCACTCGGAGCAATGATTGTATATTTTACTTATTTTCACTTAGCAGACACTTTTATACAAGTGACACACTTTTTTTTTTCTTTTTCTTTTTTTTTTTAGAAAACTGGGTCAGACAGCCCCTGGAGCAATTAGGGGTTAAAGGCCTCGCTGGGGGGGGGCAATGGTGACATCACTCTGCCAACCTTGGGATTCAAACCAGCAATCTTCCCGTCTCCCCTTATTTTACTTATTTTTAATTGGGCAAGAAGATGGCAGCAGTTTTACAGTGAATGGCTCATTGCTTCATTAATCCGCACGCCGTCTCCTGGGAAAGGCCCCCCGCCAACATGTTTTTGCCAGCAGGTGGCTTCTTAGGTTACACATATTTTTTAATTTCACTCGTAAAATACTTAACTTGCTACAGAAACAAAAAAAGTCATTGTGCGCCTTGCTCGTCCCTGTCAGCACGGAGCATTCTTCGCTAATGGAGCTGCCTTGGTAAACAGAGCAGCACAATAAGCTTGTGTGGTAGCAGGTAAATGCTCCAATGGGCCGTGTTCTAGTCAGGTGAGCTGGAATGGAGGTTTTCCGGCTCTCAGTGGGACGCCGGGCCTCAGTTATGGGTCACAGTCCAGTTAGAAATGGCGGCTTTTCACGTGGGAAAGAACCCACACTCCACTGGAAGGGTCTGGTGCAGAAGGGACATGGATTTTTCTGCTGGCTGGGGTTTGAATTAGAGGACAGAGTCATCCTCCTCCTTTGGGGGTGGGGGGATGCAGCTGGGCAGTTCTGAGGGAGGGAGACGCTCTTCCTCAGAGGAAGGGATCCAAAGAAAATATCAAAGGATCCGCGCACCAGGCAAGATGTGAAAAACCTTAAAATAACCAATAGGAAATTATTCTGTTTTACTTTTTTTATGCTAATGAGACACCAAGTCCACTCAAAGGTGCGTCGATGTGGAAAAGGTGTGTGATTTCAGCTCTCTGAGATAGTTGTGAAATTAGGTCACTGCATATCCAGTCATGTTCTCAGCATAGACTTTTTTTTTTTAAATAAATTTGTCACAAAACACCCATTGTAACTTCTTTAAAGCTCTCCAGACCTTCACTGAGGGTTTAAAGATGCGGGAGATGTTTCCAGCTCAACAACAGCTTTTAATGGAAATCACTTGAAGAAATTCTTCAGAACCTTTCTGCCATTATATCCAGAGGCATCCCACTGTAGGGTGAAAAGGTCCACCTCTGCTTAATCGTATTCAGCATCCGACTCTGGTGTCCTCACAGCCTCTCTTGGCTCTCTGTCTGGACATCCCAGTAATAGGGTCTGTGCCTACAGTGTCCTTCCTGCTAAGCCCATGCACATTTTTACACCAAAACGGGCCGATCGGCATGTAGCAGAGTAGCAGCAGTGGAGTTTTCCTACTTCCCCAGTGGCAAAAAGTACGTCTGATGCAGTGAAATACCACAGTTGGAAATACCTGCTGTAAATTAGGAGCTAAACATTTTTTCTTCACACCGATAACTTCACCCAGTGGTTGTTGTGCACGCACTACTGGGCAATGACTAATGAGGAATAAATTGCTAGCAAAATAAACATGCAAATAATAATAATAGTATTGGCTGGTGAAAGGGATTATTTGCTGCCGTTAATTGTGTATGCTAAGCAAACAAAAGGAGAAAGCAGTGGTGATATATTTCTGAGAAAATGTCTGGACGGCCGAGCCACAGCACAGGGTGCGCTCAGAGCAGACCCCAGGCTTTATTTGAACAGGGTCTTTCTTCAGGCTGAATATGAAGTGGAGAGAATGGACGCTGATAATGGACGCTGAGAATGGACACTGATAATGGACACTGATAATGGACGCTGAGAATGGACACTGATAATGGACGCTGAGAATGGACACTGATAATGGACGCTGATAATGGACATTGAGAATGGACACTGATAATGGACACTGATAATGGACGTTGAAAATGGACGTTGAAAATGGACGCTGATAATGGACACTAATAATGGACGCTGAGAATGGACACTGATAATGGACACTGATAATGGACGTTGAAAATGGACGCTGATAACGGACGTTGAAAATGGACACTGATAATGGACGTTGAAAATGGACGCTGATAACGGACTTTGAAAATGGACGCTGATAACGGACGTTGAAAATGGACGCTGATAATGGACGTTGAAAATGGACGCTGATAACGGACGTTGAAAATGGACGCTGATAATGGACGTTGAAAATGGACGCTGAGACCTGCATAGCAAACAAAACATCCTGGAATAACAAATGCAAACTTGCTGATTTGGAGCTCCACAGTGTACTTATGGAGAAGCATTACTCTCTTTTCTGCTTTGAGAGCTTGTTTTCGCTGATTGTGATCGCAATCTGTTCTGTTACTCCATATTCTTTAATAAAAAGATAAGACTAAAGTAATACACTCATACAGACAGAACTGAAAATGAAAGAGGTATGAACTTAGGCACCCAGGGATGATTACCCATTTTGTGCTCCTGAGAAAGTGACAGCGTCCCCCCCCCCCCAGGCTTTGTAGGATCCAGGTGGTTGTGGAATGCAGTCCCTGGGTAGGATTTAGTCACTTTGCTGCAGTGAAATCCATCAATTTGTGCCCCATGAATATTTTGCTGATAATGACGTCCGGCAGGTTTGAGCTTGGAAAACAGATGACTTGTCGATGCGACCATCTGGACTGAAGCACAGAAAATGATATGGACTGAGATCTGGTTACAGTGGTCATAGTGGTCATGGTCTGACCACAAGTACAACAGGTCTACACCCTACATAAAACTCTACCCCTGTAACATGGATGATAAAGCAGCTCTTTTAAATGATAGAGGTCAGGCCCACTGTGACTTTCATGAGCTTCCATCAGTATATTAATATACATAACAGGGAGCCTGAAATCAATGATGGGAAGTAAAATGCTTTGTGGCCCACCTGGCGTAAGGAAAATATTTCTAGAACATTCCCCAACTGAATAAGACCAAAGCCTTACGAGAACATAACTGAACTGACGTGTTTGACAAGCACAATTACTGTAATATTTGTATTTTAATGTTGTATGTTAACCAAATTTATTTTTATTTGTTGTCATAAACCCTGAAACTCATCGAGGCAGATTAATTGTTAATTGTTGCACGTTATTTAATTGTTCAATTGGCATAGCTAATGATGGCTCTGCACCTGTCATAATTATTTTGGTTGAGTTAGTGTGTTTGAAGCTCAGTCTTGCTTGTATCCCCTTGTCTGGCTCCCCAGCCTTCCTGTTTAGGAGTAGCTCTGCTGAACTTTGGCGTCACTTTCCCTCCTTGAGGACTGAGCCCCGGCCAGCTCCCCTTTGCACCCTCGGGATGTGTGATGCCTCTCTTACCGCGCTCCTGCTGGCAGT